TCACTCTTTGCAAAATGGCTGTGTTTTTCCTCCTAGGCAATTTTCAAACTATTCTCTGTTAATAGCTACAATTAAAATGCCCCCTTTATTGGTTGTACTCAGTAATTCAAATGGTTCCCCATTCACCGAATTATAAGAGGCAGAGTTAGTTCAGAGTAAGGTGAACCTTACTCTGTTTCACTCTTACATATCTTTTCTGGTTTCCACTAGAAATTCCTCTGTTGTTGCGGTGTCTGTTGTATAGTAACCTATGCCTCCCCTGTAATTCATTCTAAACTGAACACTTAAAGCAATGAGAATACTATTTGAATGTATGTAGCATCATAGAGTAATAGACATAATCTAGAGGCAATTTGCTACAATGAATAATGATAATTGAGGTTGAGTGTTTAGGGTGCAGATTGTCCCTAAATGGCATTGAATGGGCCTAAAGAACATCCATATGAGTTACACATTTATCAAAGCTTATTGTGTATCAGACACTGAAATAGATGCTAAGAAAGCAGACATGGTAGCTTCTCTTTGGCAGTTTCTCCAGTATGCCATTAGAGCAGGATACAGAGCTGAATAATGATAGCATCGTTGGTTAATAGCTGGGGAGACCAGAGGAGGGAGAGCCCCAGTGTCTGTACCTTAGGAGTCAGGGAAGACCTCACAGAGGAGGCCATTGATTTAGACTATGAAGAATGGAGAAAAGAGGAAAAAGGATATTCTAGACAAAGATTAAAAGCTTAGAACAATAGGGAGCCATGGAATAATGTTGTTGAAGAATGATGGGGAGTTCTGATGCAGTCCAAAGTTGATCAGACTAGTGTTTGATAAACCCATGACCAAGTGCAAGCAGGTATCACACAGAAGACAGGGTGTATTTGTTTTAAGGACTCGGTCCAATTTTGTGCATTTCTAAACTGGAAAGAAAAAAACAAACCAAAAAAAACCCTAAATTTCCCCGTTGTTGACTATTGTGTGTTTTTTTAAATGCTTTTTCTGTGTGGCTAAGGACTTGGACATACGATCCTTACCCTTAGCTCTTGGAAGACACTACCATTGACTCCAAAAGGGAAAATTAATGCTGAGTACAGTGGAGTAGTGTCAGCTTATTCTAATAGTGAGCACATGTGAATATGAATAGATTATAAAATCACATGAACAACAAAATGTAGAGATAAGTCATACTCTAGCAGAGCTCAATTAATACTTTGCTGTCCTCCTCTGAGGCAGCTGCTCTACCCTACCCCCCACCCCCAAGGGAGCAAAATGTAATGGAAATGGGCCTGTTTTGGGGAGGGTTACTATTGGAATAACTACCTGGGTATTAGGTCCTGAAGAAGTTTTAATGACTTATCTTGATAGATCTCTGGGGAAACACAAGTAGAAGCCAAAATTTGTCAATAAATCACTATTTAATGCCCAGGTGACATTTAATGGCTCCATAATTTCTATAGAAGAGGAATTTAAAGGTGGCTATCAGTTTGGGAAGTGAGGGATGGGGCCATGTTTATAAACTTGGTTTGTATAGCACTTTACATAAGATTAAGAAAACGTCAATTGTTCATATTAAAGATTGCAGGGGAGAGATTAGGGTAACCATTCCTTTGGGGGAAATATACAAAAACAGGATGAAAGAGGGAGAAAGCTAATCCTATAGAGGAAGTCAAAGAAGGTGAGAATCAAATACCTATGGGTGCTCAGCAAAAAGGAGCAGGGGAAGGACCGGATAGGCTGCTTTGAGCACACTGGTATCTGTAAACCAGAAAATTCCAGTGACAGTTCCACTGCTCCTCCTTTACAGCTTTGTGTCTCTCTCAGCCTTTCAGAATGTTTTACTTGGAATTACATTTTCAGTTGATAGCTCTCCCTTGACTGGATTTATGTATTCTGCCCACTCAGATTCTTTACTTCTATGTCTTGTATGGCATCTCAAACTTAACATGCCTCAGACCAATTCTGACCTTTGCCTCCCCTCCTCCTCCCAATTCTTCCACTTTCTTCTTCAATGTCAAGTTCATCTTTCTGTAGCTCAAACTTAAAGCTTCAGAGTTTTTAGTTTTTTTCACACCTCACATTCAACTCTTCAGAAAAGATTGTCAGCTTTACCTTTGAAACATCCGAGAAACCCAACCACTCCCACCACTCTGCTGCTACCACCCTGGTCCACCTGAGGAAACTAAGGAACATGACTGTCATTCATATCTTAGTGTGAATTCAGTGATCTTATCTATTTGTGATATAAAGCTGAGATTAGTCTCATTGAAGAAATGGCTTTTTGACAAAATGAGGTCTTGGATCTTGATTTTTTAAAACTTACCTCTGGTGTTTTTCTAGTAACTATCTGTTTGTTTTCTTCCTGTTATTGCCACAGAGCTTCAACAAGTTGAATAGACCAGAGTCTATTCCTTTTCTCTACTACTCGTTGTTTAAGTTTACACCCCAGCCCCATCTAGTTTCTCAACTCACTTTTCGATGAGCTGTCATGGCTTTTCCTCTGTCCTTGCCCCCTTAATTTCTCACCAGCACTTGCTGTTATTGACCATCACCTTCTTGAAACTTACCCTTGGTTCCTTATGACGACATTTCTGGGTTCTCCTTCTCTGCACCCCCTTTTCCTTTTTCCTGACATTTATTTGTAGACATTTCTTAAGGTTTTGTCCTTCAGAAGCCTCAAGAACTTGTACAGCATCAACTGTCAGCACAATATACCACACAGGGTGGGGCAAAAGTAGGTTTTGTTTGTATGGAAAATAATACAATAAATAAATAATACAAGAATAAACTCACATACTCACAACTGCAAACCTACTTTTGCCCCACCCTGTGCATGACTCCCAAGCCTATTCTCTCTTACATCTCAAGCACCAGCTCTTCATCTTTAGCTGCTCCCGAGACAAGGCTCCTTAGAATCATGTTCATATGAGATGCCAGGGAACCTGGCTATAGGACACTGAGGATTGGTACCCCCTGGTGGAGAGAGTAGAAAGTCATCTTTAAGTATCTGCTTGCTTAAAGATCGGACCTTACAGCAGATGTTGCAAAGATTACATTTGTTGAGCATCTACTGAATGTTCTCTATTCTAACATATGTAATTTTCTAATAAACTCTAGCTATATCTCTTGAACTAGCAATAACATCTATTAAACCTCTCTTTGGGACCTTTCAGCTTCTTACTAGACCACAAATTTGCAACTGAAAGGATTTGGGTTGTCAGAACTCTTCAGCATGATTTTAAGGCAGGAAATTGCTCTCTGATAGATACTGTGAAGGATATAATGAGATACAGAATCAGCCTTAAGGAACTTAATAGTGTAACTGGGAAGCAAGCCATTCACTCTGGGGAAATGACTAAATCAAATCAAGAGGTAAACCTCAAGGTAAGACAATGTCACAGGAGACATCACTAGGCACTCAGATGTCAATAAATGGTATAGATCCTGAGTTTAGAGAAGGCTGAAGTCACTGTGGGGAGGTTGGTGTGTTCAGGAATTACTTCATGAGTGAGGCTGGACTTTATCCTTAACAAAGTATTTCCAAAATTTTTAGAGCTTTAGTTCTCAATGTTGCCATGTTAAGAAAACTATCTATGTTGCTATTTCTTCACACTTTTCATTGACACTTTTTTGGGGGTAAATACCTTTTGCCTTGTCTTAAACCATCAAATCCACAAAATCACAGGTTTGATGTGCTTTTGTGTTTGCTATATATTTGTTTTGCTAATATACGTGAAACAAACACAGGAAATCCTCATTATATGGAGGTAATTACAGTAAGTCTTCACTTAGTCCTTGCTAGGTTATGTGGCTTTAAGCCAAACTACATATAACGAAACCAATTTTACCATATGCTAATTTATATAAACAAGGGTTAAGTTCCTATGGCATCTCATCAATGTTAGAACAAACGACATTGAACAAAATGATGTTACTGAGGACCTACTGTAGTTCTACAAAAAGACCACTTAAAGGGAATCAATCTACCTAAAAAGATTATCGGTCATTTGTATTAATTTTTTATGTAAAAGTTTGATTAGATTTTAGTTTATAAATGAAACTAAAAATTATGAAAATAAGTATTTCATTGTATACTAAACAAAATATAAGGTGGTGTTGCAACTATGAACAATTTGAATGAACAAAATATTATTTAATTGAATAGTATTTTTCTGATAAGATAATTTAGCTTTTGTGGCACAATCATAAATATGAAAATACTTCAAAATAGACCTCTCTTGACCTTTTAACATTCGAAGTATTTTATGAGCAACCTACTTTGTTATCATACTTGTGAGCTTTCTCTTGTTCAGTTAACTGATCTAATTCTTCTAAATCCTTGTTATAGATTTTTACATGATCTGAGCAGTTATCAGACATTTTTTTTAATCTCATGAAATTCTGCTTCCTTTGCTCAGATTTGTAACTCGGCTTTCCAATAAATTTATATTGGGTTTGCATTATATTGGAGAAATTGTAAACATCATTGATTTGACTAGTGAGGATGTTGTAAAGTGAAAGGATTATTTAAGTCAGTTCTCTATTCAACTGTGAATGTTTTGGTGTTAGGATGATTTTTATTTTTCTATGCATCCTTTAATTCTAGGACAACCTTCTCAAACTTTTTGCACTGGAGAAATTATTCTTGAAATAATTTCCAAGTCTCTGGGAATCTCTGGAAATACCCAAGGACAGAGAAGGTCACAGTCCTCTGCTCAGAGCTGGGTTAGACCCCAAAGCCCACTGAGCACAGTATCTGTCCTACTTCCTGTCATACCCTTTAACAATATCCTTGGATGATGGCTCTTCTTTTCCCAGTGTCTGCAATTGTATATGCTGCTTTCTAAAATCACCTTGAAATGTACCCTGAACCAAAAGGTAATAGTTGCTTTTAGAAGCCTCTCTGTGTAATTCCTATCAGGAGGCTCATAGAAAGGCTTTTTCTAGTAGCTAATATTTTCCTTTTGTTGCAATGATGATTTGAAAGTTACAAGCCTTTCTCTGCTTCTTCCCAGCCAGGTCTCTAGACAAACTTTATAACTTTGCTGATTGCTCTGGACTCCACCTGATATTTGCTCTAAATGCACTGCGTCGTAATCCCAACAACTCCTGGAACAGTTCTAGTGCCCTGAGTCTACTGAAGTACAGCGCCAGCAAAAAATACAACATTTCTTGGGAACTGGGTAATGGTAAGTAAGGATGTTATCTCCTCTAATTGACAAGATAAAGGGTAAAAAAATAAGTTGGCCTGGGATATAGTCTCAATCAGATCATCTCTAGTGTACTGGCCTAGAAAACACTTGGGAGTTTTGGCCACTGAGTTGACCTTCCAGATAGTAAAAGACCAAATAGTGAAGAGCAGTAAATTTAGTGAATCCACACCATTTGTATCTATAGTTATCTCTAGTTACCTCATTCCAAATATGGGGAAAATGCCATATGTGATTTGTAACTAACAAATTGATGCTAAACCAGATACAACCTGTCTGCAAAGCCTGAGCTACATTTTATAGTGTGTGTTCTATGGAACGCTGGTCCTACAAGATGACCTTTATAATAATTCAAAAGAGCTTGGTCAGATATATTTGGGGACTTCTCTACAGTATACATAACTCTCAGACGTTCACAATGCATATTAGCATATAAAAGGCTCTGAGAAGTCTTGTTACAATGAAATCTCTATAACATTTTTTTTACCCAGCATTTCTTAAGCCAGTTAACTAGGATTGTTTTCATGGATGTACAACTTGTATGGTCACATAGGCCCCATGCTTGGAAGAGTCCCATGCTTCGTTTAATGCTATGCTGTTGCCATCTTAAAATTTGTAATCTTTTAATAAGGGGACCCACATTTTCATTTTTCACGGGGGTCGATCTTATCATTGAAGTGTGTGTGTGTGACCTATTATCATCCTATGGAACACACTTTAGAGAAATATTGCCTGCATTTACACTATCCTTTCTAATGATATGTATGTATGATATATTTTATGATATTCTATAGATTCCATGACTCTCTAATATTATTGAGGCAATTAATATGGGTTTTAAAATATTCTGATTCTCTGATTAAAAGACATTTTGATAAACCTTAGAACAAGACAATTGAGTCTAACAAGCCAAGACTTCTCTTAAGATTACTGTAACAAAATGATATCAGCATTTTTGTTCATGACCTTGTGTATCTGTAACTCACCCATATTTGGAGCACACGCACATACACATGCATGTGTAACTTTATTGCACTCTAGAATTAGAAGTCTTCATAATAAGATAGGACGAAATAAAGGCCTTGTAAGAATGTGTCCTATTTTCCTGTCTGTAGCCATTAACTGAATGTAGCTCTCTTACTCTTCTTCTTCCTCCCCTGGAGTAGGGGAAATTGGGGGAGAGTTAGGGACCAGATGGAGACCCAAATGAAGATGCTTTTGCTATAGGGGGTAGCACTGGGGTAGCCTGAGACTTTTGTGAATTTTAAAATTTGATAAAGTGGAAAATACCTGCTAATTTTTTTATGAGCATTTCTATCCAGGTAGAAATAGGTGGTTTTTGAGTCTCTAGTCAAGAAGACTAGACTTTGTCCTTTTATTTTAAAAACTGCATTTCTGTTTTTTTGATATGATTAATAAATAGTCTGTCAAATTCAACATACCTTTTAGGGTTTGAGGAAGATTTATTTTGCTGCTGCTTCTAATTTATTTTGAAACTACTGATAATTTTTCTTGTGCTAGAATTATATCTCTTAAGATATCTTGTGTATTCTGCTCACAACCATTGTGTTATACATTCAGGTCCTTCCCTCTCAAAAATTATCTGCATGGTCATCTTCCTGGCTTACACTTGTCTCTCTAAACTTTTATCTATTTTTTTTGTAACCTTATCTTTTTTGGACAGAGGTAATAGTTTAATCATTATACCCAGATTTAAGGAAGGACAGTAGAACTGGTCAGTCCTCTAATCACTCATCTTCCCATATAGCCACATCCTATTAACAAATATTTTATCTTTAGAGAAAATATAGCACTGGAAAAACCAAAGTAGACATTTCTTTGGTTGTTTCTCTGAGAGTAGCTAAACTTCAAGTGACTAACTTACTTTTCCCCCCTTTGAAATCAGTGAATAGTGTGCACGATAGACCAGAAAATCAAGATATACACAATATCAAGAGGTGAAAATTACAAAGTTTAGGATGTCAAAATCTATGAAAGAATGACTTTCTTGATACAAATTTTTAGCTACATTCTGTAGATATAAAATGTTTCCTTAAATGTGATAAATTGTAAACTCTGTATTTGCTTAATGCTAGGGGATGATTGTGATTATTTGCATTTCTATTACTCATTGGTAAATCTAAAGTAAGGAAGAACTTGGGGCATTTTGAAGCTGGTAATCAACCCCTGGAAGTGTAGAATAAGAATTTTAGTCCAAATCTGCTTCAGGGACATGGTGTTTGTTGTTTAGAGGGTTATTCTTAACAGAAGTCCTCTGAAAGTAATGCCGCATCTCTAACTGAACTCTACATTATGAATTGCTCCCCAAATTAAGTGCACTCCCAAAATAGATCTGCCCACTTCTGTGAGCAAATAAAAGCTATTATAATTACTTAATTAGTGTCATATGTTCACCCCTACACCTGACCTATACACTTACCAATTATTTTCTTATGTTTTTAGTTATATGATTCAGTTTCTTGGAATCTGATGTCTACTGAGTGATTTCATAAAATCAAATTTCTGACCTTACAAAATTTAGCTCCTTAGAGATGATGATTGTAGCAGCCCAGCTTTATTTAGTTATTAATTCACTAAATATTTACTAAACTTTTAGTCTGTGATTAAACTTTTAGTCTGTGGATTAATGTATGATATACTTATGTTAGCCATTTATCCATTTCAATTGTATATATTTGTGTTTATGACAGTTACAGCCTTGGGAAGGCCAAATATAAGGTTGAGGCACTGTCTTCAAACACATTGCCAATTGTTTATGAGGGTAGGTCGTAGCTCAGAGCTTTAGAGAACTGTATTTTCATAGGATAAAGTTTTAATGGTTAGGGAAGGAGAGGAGGGGAAAAGAGGAGAGAGGTAGATGAAAAACCATATGTAGTTTCTTTGCTATGATTAATAAATAGTCTGTTAAACTCAACATACTTACTTTTCTCCTTTCCCTCTCCGTCTGTTCCTCACCTTCATCACCTTCATCTTCTCAATCCTTTCTCCTCATACATCCGTCCACATACATACTTTTATGCTATTTACTTATTCCTGTATTTACTACTGAGCACCTGCTATGCAAAATATGCCAAGTACTAGCGTGGGAGCTGAAGGACATCCTTAGCATCCTCCTCTCCCACCGCCACATCTCTTGGTAGAGGATACTGTGGTGGAGAATGCGTATATGCAACAAAGAATTCCTAGTTTGTAGGAGCATGTTGTCTAAAGGTAAAGGTAGGATAAAGTTAAAGCTATTGAATGGTTAAACACTCATATATTAAAGTTGGAGGACCCTTTACAGTTATAAAGGAGTATAGAATAAATTAGAGAAGTTGCTTAACCAACAAATAATGTAGGATAAAAATATAAATAATGCACAAAAGTGTTGATAAATTCATAGCTTACATTTGTAAGCACTTAAGTTAATTATATTCTTTGATTGTTAAGGGAATGTGATGATGTTTGGATTACATCAGTTCTTTGTTTGAGTTCATTGTCATAGTGGAGAGCCGTGTTCTCTCATGAGCATGGTTTAGTGTTAGAGTTTACAGTGTTTGACTATTTAGTGTTACAGTTAGATAGCTGAAGAAAGCATTTGTGGGGTAGCTGTTACATGTGTGGGCACGGGATGAATCATTGATATGACCAAGGTCATTCATTTTATTGTTATCACTGGTATGACCCACTGTTGAGGTGCAACTGAGTCCTTAAGAAACAGAATAAATAATTATCACCTTCTACAAATTTCTTAAACATTCATCTTTGTTTGTTTAGAACATGATATAATGAGAGAGAACAATCTAACTGACATGGTCCAATCTATCTCTCACCTGCTATTCTTAAATATTTTAAATCCCTTTTGTAACTTGTAAAAACCAAGGTGAAATCTGTTGTTCTGACTTGCCTCATTGACACACCAGTGACTTCTCTGTCCATATTAGGTTGACAGGGGACAGAAAACCTGCTTTGGTCATTTTTTGGCTATGGCTGCGGGGCATGCACCAGCAGTGACTGTTCAGGGCATATGAAGCCAACTCCATATCCATTTAATAGACTGTGAACCATGATTCCAACTACATGATACCCTGGCAAAGGCAGGAAGAGCTATAGAGAGTGAACAGATCAGTGGTTTCCAGGAGTTCAGGGGGATGGAAGAAAGGATGAATAGGCGGAGTACAAGATTTTGGAGGGCGAACTTATTCTGTATCATACTATAATGATGGATACATGACATTATGCATTTATCAAAACCCATACAGCCTTAGAACACAGAGTAGACCATTGACTTGACTTATAACATATCATTATGGGTTCATCAATTGTAACAAATGTGCCGCACCAAGGCAAGGTGTTAATAATGGGGAAATTGTGTGTGTGGGGGGAGGATAGGGTATATAGGAACTGTTTGTACTACCTGTGCAATTTTCTATAAACTGAAAATTGCTCTAAAATATCAAAATACAGTCTGTTAATTATGAAAAAGAATATGAGCCACAGTGTAGACATACTTCTTGTAACTATGAATTTTACTTGTTGTGTCCTTTCACTTCATACTAAGAACAACAGAAGAATCAGTTAAAAGAATACGACTGGACAAAAGATTTTCCAGAGAAGAAATATAAATGGTGATTAAACATGTGAAAAGATGCTTAACATCATTAGCCATCAAGCAAAACCAAATCAAACCTCAGTGAAATAGCACTTCACATCCCTAGGACGGCTGTAATAATAGAAAAGGAAAATGCCGCTCTTGGCAAAGATGTAGAGAATTGGACTCACACTCTGCTAATGGGAATATAAAATAGTGTAGCCACTTTGGAGAACAATTTGGTAGTTCTTCAAAAAGTTAAAAAGAGTTACATATGACCTAGCAATTCCACTCCTAGGTTTATGTCTATGAAAAATGAAAACTTATGTTCACACAAAAACCTGTACACAAATATTCATAGTAGCATTATTCATAATAGCCAAAACCCAGAAACAACCCAATGTTCATCAACTGATGAATGAATAATAAAATGAGGTATAGCCATATATTGGAATATTATATGGCCATGAAAATGGAGTATTGATATATGCTACAACCTAGAGGAGCCTTGAAAAGATTATGTTAAATGAAAGAACCCAGTTGCATTTTTCCCCAGTCTGTGACTTGTCTTCTCATTCTCCTAACATTGTCTTTTTCAGAGCAGCCATTTTTAATCTGAATGAATCCAGATTATCAATTATTTCTTTCATGGACTGTGCCTTTGGTGTAATCCCATGTGTTTTTATATTTTTAAATTTTTATTCCATTAAAAATAGTTTCTAAGTCCCCTTGTGATTTCTTCTTTGACTCATGGATTATTTAAGCTCCAAATATTCATAGATTTCTCAAAATTTTTTCTTTTGTCAAATTCTAGTTTAATTCTGTTGCAGTCAATACACATACATTATATGATTTAATCTCTTTTAATATATGAGACTTGTTTTATGGCCTAGCATACGGTCTGTTGTGAAGAATGTTATATATGCACTAGAAAAAAGTGTGTATCCTGTATCCTGCTGTTGTTAGGTGGAGTGTTCTGTAGATATCAATCAAGTTAATTTAGCTAATACAATTGGTCAAGTTTCCTGTATCCTTGCTGATTTTCTGTCTAGTTGTTCTATCCATTATTGAGAATGTGGTATTAAAGTCACCTTCCATTATTGTTGAATTTTCTCTTCAATTTTTAAAATTTTATTTCATGCATTTTGGTGTTGTTGATATGTGTATAATTATTATATCTTTTTCATAAATTGACTCTTACCATTATAAAAATGCTCCCCATTGTCTCTAGTAACATTTTTGTCTTAAAGTCTATTTTGTCTGATGGTAGTATAGTTATTCCAGCTCTCTTATGATTACTGTTTGAATGGCATATCTTTTTTATCCTTTTACTTTCAACCTATTTGTGCCTTTGACTTTAAAGTGTGTCTCTTTAGTTGGATTTTTTTTTTTTTGCAGTCTGACAATTTCTGCTTATAATTGGAGTGTTTAGTTCATTTACATTTAATGTAATTGCTGATATAGTTGAATTTACATCTGTGAGCTTGCTGTTTTCCATTTCCTTCTTTTTTGATCGTTTGTTTCTCCTTTGTTTTTATGCAAAACAGATATTGTCTAAGGTATCATTTTAATTCTTTGTTTTGTTTTAGTCATTTTCTTAGTAGTTTCTTGTTATAATACATTTTAATTCATTACAATGTACTTTAGAGTAATAGTGACTTAATTCTAGTTAAATATACAAACTTCACTCCAATAGAGCTCTATATCTACCTCCTTTATACCATTATTATTCTAAATATCATATCTTTGTAAGTGTTAAGCCCAACAGTACAGTTTTCTAGTTTTTGTTTTATGCAACTCTTATTTAAATTAGTTAAGAGTAATGACTATTTTAAATTGTTTTTATGTTTACCTATTTAATTACCTTTACTGGTGTTCTCTCTTTCTTTGTGTGGTTTTCATTTACCATCTTGTGTCATTTCCTTTCACCTAAAAGACCTCCCTTTTTATTTCTCGAAAGGCAGATTTTCTCACAACAAATTCTGTCCTTTGTTTTTCTGGGCAGGTCTAAATTTTGCTTTACGTTTTGAAGGATTGCTGCTTATAGAATTCTTGGTTGACATTTTTTTCCCTTCAGCATTTTCTTTCTTTTTTTGTTGTTGTTAATAATTAACATTTTATTCTTTATATGTGGCAGAACAACTTTGTTTTTAATGATTATATCAGATATTATAAACTCTGAAAAACCTCTACAGCCAATGGTTAAAGCATAAGCAGATAAATGATTGCTTATTTATTCATTTCTTCATTTATTTATTTTTAATTTTATTTTTAAAATTTTATCTTTATTGTTGAAAGTACTATAGATGTCCATCGATCCCCTCCGCCTCCTTCAGCATTTTTGATATAAAACCCCACTGTCTTCTGGTCTCCATTATTTCTGGTAAAAATTCAGCTGCTGTTTTACTGTGTTCTTCTGTATGTGAAGAGCCATGTCAGTACCAAGATTTCCATTTGATCATTTTATATAATTTCTATCTCTTTATTTATATTTGACCAGTCAATAAATTTATACTTTTCTTTCATTTTTATTGTTTCCTTTATTTCTTTGAACATACAGTTTTGAAGTCCTTATCTGCTAAGTCTAACATTTGGACCCCCCGAGAGAGTTTCTATTTACTGCTTTTTTTCTTGTTTGTGTTCATACTTTCCTACCTCTTCGTGTGTCATAATTTTGTTGTTGTTGAAAACAATATGTTAGGTAATTGAAAACAATATATTTAGATAATATGTTAGAGCAACCCTGAATTCCAAACCTTCCATCCCAGAGATTATTTGTGTTGTTTCTTTTTGTTTATTTGTTTGAACTAATTCTGTAGAGTCTGTCTCCCTTGTATTATTACCTGCTAATATCTCTTAAGTTTTTTATTTTTTAATTATTTTTTTTATTTTTAAGGCCAGCTCCCTAGAGGTTTCCTTGAGTCAACTTTGCTTAATGGTGAGACAATGATTGATCCGAGGTTGTGCTTAATTAAGCCATTAAGGCTTCCACCATTCGCCAGTGGATCTGTATGTGGATTGGGAAACACATTAAAAATTTAGGCAATTTACAAGTCTGACTGACTTAACTTTCTGACGTGCCTTCTCATGTCTTTATGAGTGTACTAGGTTTCACGTTCATCTGGGAATGCATAGATAGCTAGTGCCCTCTCCAGTCTCTCTTGAGCATGCACAGCCTTCTGGACTATAAGGAGTGTATGTGAGCTATCAAGGCTCACTGTTGCTGTCTTATTCCCCAAATCTCCCTGCTAAATTTCTTGCAAGTCTGCTGGTCTGTTTATTTCCCCTGCCAATATCAAAACCTCAAGCTAGCCTGTATGTCTTCTTGGAGCATGTACTTCATTCCAAATCAAATTAGTTCCCTTCAACAGTGGAGCTGCTGGTATTTAAGACTTTTCTTGCCCTTTAGAACTACCAAGTTAAGAAAAACTAGGAGAGGGGATTTTGCTCTACATCTTTTCACTCAGCTATTTTGTTATTATTAAACATTACATTTTTCTAACTTTTTGGTACAATGACCATATTTATGTAGCTTTCCTTTTTTACCATTTATATTAGTTTCCTAAGCCTGTCATAACAAAATATCATGAGCTTGGTGGTATAAAACAACAGAAACTTATTCTCTCACAGATCAAGAGACCAGAAGTCTGAAATCAAGGCATTACCAAGGTTGATTCCTTCTGGAGGCTCTGAGGAAGAATCTATTTCATTCCTCTCTCCTAGCTTCTGGTAGCTGCCAGCAATCCTTGGTACAGCAGCATCCCTCCAATCTTTGCTTCCATTGACATATGGCCTTCTTCCCTGTATGTTTGTGAACCTGAATCTCCCTCTCTTTTATAAAGACATTGGTTGTTGGATTTAAGGCACACTCTAATCCCATGTCACTTCATCTTAACTAATTACATCTTCTAAGATCCTGTTTCCAAATAAGGTCACATTCTGAAGTTTTAGGTAGACATAAATTTTGAATAGAACACAATTCAACCCAGTATACACTCATTATCAAATATCACCTGAAAATCATTATGTTCTCTCTGTTGTAGATTAGGTGATCTTTTGTGAAAATTAGTTTGAAAATGAATAGAATAGTAAGACGGCATTTGACTGTTTTGTTGGAGTGGTTCCTCAAGTTAAGCTAGCTCACACCCTCTTTTGGTTATTTTATTCATATTGTTAAGAAAAAGGCAGAGAGATCTGTGGACAGCAAAGGGTTGGGCAGAGCCTTACCCTTCTCAACTCTGACTTGCATGTCTTCTTTTAACCTAGAGCCAAATAACTATCGCACCATGCATGGCCGGGCAGTAAATGGCAGCCAGTTGGGAAAGGATTACATCCAGCTGAAGAGCTTGTTGCAGCCTATCCGGATTTACTCCAGAGCCAGCTTGTATGGCCCCAATATTGGGCGGCCCAGGAAGAATGTCATCGCCCTCCTAGATGGGTATGTCAGATTATTTAGCAGTTCTTATAATATTATTTATTAAATGTAATGAATTAATGTATTCGTATTTTTCCAGGTTATTTTGTTCTTAAGAAGGGCAGAGAGATTTTTTTCCATAGTGATTTTCCGCACTCTAAACCAGGGATTCTCCATCAAACAGTGGAATAACTTTTCATCTCTCCAGACTTTCCACAGTCAGCAGGGGATAGGATTGGGGAGGGAATACATAATACATAATCAAACAAAGCCAATAACTCTTTCATTCATGTCCATGTAGTTATGCTTTTGGGTTATCTTTTTAAAAATGATTTGATTAATGCATTCTCATGGGGCTGACAGTGTCCTCTCAGTAGCATAACCCTGTATTAATTATTCATTCATTCTGGAGTAAATGTGTCTTGAGTAAATTATATGTCCCGAGTACCATGTTAGGAGCTGGGTATGTAATAATAAACAAAACAGATACTTTCTCTGCCTTCATGGAGTATATAGTATAGTAGGAGAGATGTAGACATTAATCAACTGATCTTAAAACTAAGACAATACCAAGTAAAGGTACATAGTACTATGAATGACTCTAAGGGCTGGGATTTGACTGAGCAGGAGGTCATGGAAGGATTTCCTTAATGAAGTCACACATAAGAGGAAAAGAGATATTTAAAGTGTAATCTAAATTATAGGGAGGTGTTAACTAGACAAAGTGTAAAGTGAATAGTATCAGTGTTCTTGGGAGAAAGAAAAGCATGTGCAGAGACTGAGGATAAAAAAAGAACCAGGTTAGCTAAAGACAGGTATAGCTAGAGAAGTAATTAGGTAGGGATTTATAGGCATAGCTAAGGACTTAGAATTTCTTCTAAGTATAATGGAAAAATAGTGAATGTTATTAAGCTGGGGAGAGAAATAATTTGACTTATTTTACAAAAAGTATGCTATGTGTATTCTATGGAAAACAGATTGGAGAGGAAGCAGTGAAAAGGCTGCTGTAGTAGAGAGAGAAAGAATAATGGGGACCTAGAACTAAGATGGCAGCAAGGAAATATATTGTTGAAGATAGAATCCCAAAGTCGATATATTAGATAAATGTATGGCGATATGACATAGGGATATTCAAACAACTGGGTGTGTGGTATTGTCATTTACAGAAATGGGAAGATTGGAAGAGTAACTGGTCTAGGAAGAAAATCATGACTTTAGATTTCACTTTATATTTATTATATTTGATGTCAAGTATATCATTGAATGAGACAGAGGATTAAGATCTCTGCTAGTGATATTCATTTGGGGGTCATTAAAATGCAAATAGGATATCCTTATAACCTATTTGCATTAGGAATAGAAGAGATCAATTAGAGACAGTGTATAAAAAGAAGAGACAGAGGCTTAGGAGAGAGGTCAGAGGAACTCTTACATTTAGAGGGAGAAAAGAGGAATGACCTTAGAAGTAAGAAAAAAAGGGAGAAATTAGGTGTCACAGGAACCAAGAAAGGAGAGTTTTAAATAAGGGAGGAGTGCTGCTGGGAAGCCAGGAGGTCAAGTAACAGGTAGATAGAAAAATACCAATGTATTGGACAACATGCAAGTTGTTTGTGACTTCGGATAACACAGTTCAGGGGAGTGGTGGGAACAGATGGCAGATCACAATAGTTTGAAGAGTGAATGAGGGTGTGAAGATTGGAAACAATAATATGGACAACAACCCTTAACAGAATTTTTACTGTGAAGGAGGGCAGGAAAACTAAGAGAGATAGTGGGCGTCAAAGATAGTGATGGCATATTTCTCCTGGGAGACAGTTGAACAGGTTTGTATGTTGATGAGACTTATTCAGGAAAGAAGAGCTAGATGCTATAAGAAACTGAAGATATAAACAAAGTGAGAAGTCCTTTAAGGTTAGAAGAAATGGAGTCCAGAGGGATTGGCCTTCATTAAATGGAGGTGTAATTCCACCAGGGTAACAGCAGGTAAGAAACAAGTATTTCTCCATGTCAGAGATTAAAAAGTCATACTGAGGATACACTTCTACCCAGTGCATAGGTGTAGTTAGGGCATCCTAGTTTGTGTACATGCTGCAAATGTGAGCACATGGATGCTGATCTGTTATGAATAAGTCAAGGAACTTGGATACAATAGTAAGTGACAGATAAAAGAAATGCGCATGTAACTGGATGCTGTGGTAGCAAGTGGCGGGGTTCACTTCCCTGTACATCCAAAGCCTAACAGGACTCAAGAGACTGGGGAAAATCTCTTAGGGCAAAGAAACGTCCCGGTGAGCACTTTTTTCCCTTTATATGCCAGGAAAAAACTGGAGATTTGTCTTTCTTAATGTATATGTACTAAATATACAGTGAAATATAACTTGAAACACATAAACATTCCCAGCAACTCAACCAACAATAACAAAAATGTCAGCACTCTAAATTACCAGCTCTGTAGTCTTTTCCAATTCTCCTGGTTATACAGATATAATTTTACATAGTTGTGATCATTGTATATGTATCATTTTGAGTTCTGCATGTTTTACTCATTGCTTTATATTGCCCTTTCTTTATTTCTACATAGTTCTCATATTTGTCATTCTTAATAGCAATAAAATATTCTATTGCATTAATGTACCAAAGCTTTCCCTCACTGTTGGGCATTTGGACTGTTTCCAGTTTTTGTCTGTAATATATAGCACAGCTATAAACATCTTTATACAAACAGGTTTTTTATTTCTTTTGAATTACATCCTTGGGCTGTATTCCAAGAAGTTGGGTTTCTGGGTTGAAGTATGTATATGATAATTTTTATGGCCTTTATTTTTGTTGCCAGATTTTTCTTTTTCAGAACAATTTCACCAGGTTGCAGGGCAGCAATGTATTAGTGAATCTTTTTCCCCAATACCCCACAACAATGAGTATTGTAATTTTTATTAATTTACTCTATTTTAATTGATACAAGATTCCTTATGATTGTTTAAATTTGAATTCTGCTAACTATGAAAAGAGCTGAACATTTTCTAAATCCTTATGTTGTTTCCTTTTTCCCATCCCAAGTTTGGTTAATGACACAATACCATTTTGCCTCAGGCGCAGGCCAGGAGACAATTTTAGATTCATTCCTCTCCTTTATTCACATAGTTCCATCAGTTACTTATTAAATTCTATTATTTCTGACATGTTAGTATCACTCATATCCTGTCTTCTTTTCATTTTTATTTTAAACCTTATTATTTTTCCTCCTAAATGATTTCTCCATATCTAGTCTTAGACTCTAACAATTGCTTCGTATAGATTTGAGTAGTTTTTTAAAAAAATGCAACATGTGATCGAATCACCCTTGCTTGAAGTCCAAACCCTTTCACATGCACCCCTGGCCTTCAGCAGCCAGTCTCATTTTGCAGCCAGTGTACAGCTACATCCCTTTTGCACAACCTGCCCTTAGCTATCAAAATATATGTACATTTTGGAAGGTGCCATATACTTTTTGCTATTGCACCTTTTTATCTTGTGGCATTGTCTTTGGAATACCACCCTCTTTCTTAATTTCTCATCTTTCCAGTAGATCTTCTCTGACACTTTTAGGCAAGATTTCTTATCACCTTTTCTGTCCTTACATGGCACTTTGTTTATTTTTCTGGTATAGCACTTATCAAATGATGATATCTTATTTATTTACATATCTATCTCCCCTAATAGATTGTGGACAAGGATCAGGATCCAGCCTATGTTTTATTCATTCTGTAGCCTCAGAACTAGGAATGCAGTAGGTGTCTTATAAGTGCTTGTTGAATAAATACTGTCTTATTCAACAACTGGCTCTACATTCATATGACCCAAAAGCAGTATGCATAAATGTGATTGTGATTTATTTAAAATCATTGTATAAATAGTGATTTAAATAAATTATGGTGATTTATATAAATCATAATGTTTAGCTTTAGTTTTATAGAGACAAACTAATTTTTAGCTTTTTAACTTAGGTAGTTACAGGACTATCATTCCAGTTAGGATATAAACTCCACTAGGACAGAGATAGTATCTTCATGTTTAGATCTGCAGGGTCTAGCATGTTGCCTGGAATATGGGAAGCACTTAATAAAATGTTTGTTTTATTATTTTCATTTCCTCACTCAGGAACCAGCTATTTCTAGTCATTGATTTTTATCTAAAGGCATGAAGAATTGTTCTTTAGGGGTATATCACTTTCCTTTGTTTTTCTTTTGTAAACTTTTACGCATCATTTATGTAATGACAATTTTATCTTAACCTATTGCTTTTTTATTACTTTGAAACATGTTTTTATTGTTGCAGGAGTTTATTTTTATTATAACTATTCTCATCTACTTTCTTATTGATAGTCTTTTCTGTTTCTTTCCTAATACAGTTAGGACAAAGTTCTATTTCCTTTTCATATGGGCTTTTTTAATGTTTTAATTTTCAGTGTTAAGCTCTTTTAACTTGGAGTTTATTGCTATGTCTGCTATAGAGTAGGGATCTAATCTATTTTTTGGTAATGCAGTAGTGTCAAGAAAAGCAGATATTCATTGAAAGCATGTTTACTAAGGCTCCTTTTGAGGCCTTTTATGAGGCTTTTACATCATAAGGAGATGAGCACTACATGCCCTCTCAAATATTTATTGAACACCTATTTTGTGTTTGATCCTTGCTTAAGTTCTGGGTGTATGTTGATGAGTATAGCCAAGAGAGAGCCACAGTACATAAGAAAAACAAATAAATTATTACAAATTGCAAGTATACCTGTGAAAGAAGTGATCAAGATACCTGGGGTTAGGGGAGCTATTTGGACAAGGTGATCAGATAAAACTTTTCTGAGGAATAATTTATTTAAGCCTAGAACAAAAGAATGAAAGAGCCAGCTGTTCAAAGAATAGAGGGAAGAAAGTTCTAGGTGAGGTTCTAAGTTGTGTTTGTCAATGTCCTGAATCAGAAACAAGTTTATGGCATTTGAGGAATAGGAAGATGGGCAGTACTGTGAGCAAAAGGAGAGTGGTAGGACATAA